AATAATTATCAGTATATATAGAACTTTGTAAGGTGTAATTCCATAAGAATTAGAACAATTGCATAATAATAGAATGACCAAAAAGGGTTCGTAACTTGATGGTCTCTGAACTCCGACTGTAGTTAGAACACATTTACTATAGTTGAATTGAATAATAAAAATGTACCCAAACAATCAATAATTATCAGTATATATAGAACTTTGTAAGGTGTAATTCCATAGGAATTAGAACAATTGCATAATAATAGAATGACCAAAAAGGGTTCGTAACTTGATGATCTCTAAACTCCGTCTGTAGTTAGAACACATGTACTATAGTTGAATGGGGCTCATTGCATAATTGGTAGATTGAGACCCAAAGGCGAGACCCTGAAAGGGACGGTGACTCGGAGCTTTGGCTAGATGCCATGCGATCGATCGAAAAATGCCAAGGTACTTGGGCCCAAAAAAACTTGATAGTGGACCAAGGGTGGTGAAAGGGGCAAGGTCTAATGAGCATACGTGATCGGGGACCTACCTCTCTCCGGGTTAGGCTTAGGATATCAATGGTATAATCGGTTGCCCAATGCACTTGAGCTCAAGTTGGGATTAGGTACACCGCCTATGGGCCCGCCACACCTGCTTCATAGGTTTGTGTCATAGTTGATTCCTCTCAATAATCGTGTGTTGCCTTTATAGGAGATGAGTTGTTATGTCACAATGGTCTAATAAACGTGCGAAGTCGTGCTATAATAGGGAAGACGTGTGGATGGAGCACCACATGGCGGAATCTAATGGTCTCGTTTAGGGCGGCCCTTCATTTTTCCTTCCCCATTCTTACATTTTACTTTCACCTTCTTCACCTTAGAGAAAGCAAATAGCTCAAGCACCCTAACTTAGGTGTATAACCTTAACCTTGTTTAATTCTTTCGAGCTTTAGTCTTTTTTATATAAGTAGATAGATTGAGGTAGGGGGAGAAATATGGAGAATTGGGATTGTCTAGAAACCTCAAGAAATTGGATCACAGTGAAGACAATGATAGTAAGCGCGATGTGGACAACCAATAGGAAAATAGTGAGTACGGAGAGGAAAGGACCCCATGCACTACTAGAGGGGATTTAAGAGCTCAGGACCAGAGGTGCCAGATGACCCTTGCTCTTATAAGGAACATATTGTGATAGAAGTAGGCATGTAGTTTGCGATACTGGATACATGCGAGATGAATGCCCCGAAGGAGAGTGTATATGTCTCACTCTCATAAACTGGGCGAAATATTTGTATTCAGGGATTCATTGAAAAGAGGGTTTAGGTGACCTCTGCACCCTTTCATTACCCAGCTATATATTGGCTACCAGTGGGATCACCATAGGGCAAATAACCTCGAATGGGTGGCGACTACTCATATATTTCTTTATAGCTTGTTGTTAATTGTCTATCCAGCCCAGCGTAACCTTAACCTCTGTTGCAGATTCTAGAGTTAAAACACCTCCTTATCGTAAACAACATTGTGCTTTTATTATTCAAGTGGGGTATGAAGTTGGGTTGCTACATTTTTTATGGCCCAAATGACTTCTGGTCCAGTAAAATGAGATAAGACCATTACCTGGTCCAACTATATTTTTTGATCTATTAAATAGATGGTTCTGGAATTGGATGAAAACGTGTTTTTGATATAAATAAACACGCCTTCACTGGATGCTTGACACTTGGAATATTTCATATGGTTGGATGCATGATATGGGATTATCTCATATAAAAGGGGGCACTTGTGCTTCTAGGGTTGGATACGGGTTGTTCGTCTTCTCTGTCTTATTGAAATTCTCTCTATAATTTGGTCATCAACTGGATGATTGTTGAGCAATTTCTTTGTGAGATTGTTGTTTAGAGAGATTTGTAAAACAATACATATTCTTTGTGAGTGATTGCTGATGGGAAAGGTGTATTTGAGATAAGGGATTTCATTTGAATCCCTTATTGCAGATTTTGTATTGAACTTCTTTCTTGTCCAATTTTGGGGCTTTATAATGGATTTGAGCATTATTCTTAAGGATGCTCAATGGGGGATTAGACGTTAGAAGTGGTCGCTGAACTTCCAGGGCCTTTGGTCGAAAAACCTTGTGTTCTTGTTGTTTTTAAATGTTTTCTTTATGGTTCTCTTCAAAACAAACTTAAAAAATCTTTTGATCTGTTTATCTGGGACCAACACGAGGGTATATGGCACCAAGATTCCTAGCTAGCTCCAAGGTTGGAAGGGGCTTCTTCTTCATCATGCCTTGAGTCGGGGAGCCCTAGCACCCTTTTTGGGCTAGAATGTGCAATGAATGATACCAATAGTTATAGCGAGGAGCATGCATATCTTTGAGGTTGTTTCACTCAAACCTCTCATCTCTAACATGAATGATCCCTTGATGGATGACATTCTACAGCTGGCTAGGCTTGATGGGAGTAGCGATGATATTTAGGTATGGCACGATGATGCTCTACCTGAAGAGCGTGTTTTATAGGATGCATACTTGGAAGCTCAAACCTTGATGCCCCAAAAAGCTCAAGGTCCTCGGAGAGTGTGCCGTCCCGACTCCCGAAGGAATCCCATGATTAGGTCAACCACAAGGGCTTAAGGTCAATGTAGTCAAAATTTTCTACTAGATAACAATTAATCCTTAAGCTTAGATTCTTAACAGAATCAACAATTTCTTTTATTAAAAGTAATAAAACAATTTTGTTACTATTTTTGCCTTTTGTGTTAATTTCATATTTTATTTTTACAGTAATAATCTTATTATTCATAAGTATCAAATTTGTGAAAAATAAAATAAAATTTATTACCACACTTGCTTGTTAAAAAAAATTATGGTAATTGAACAACCTGTCTACATTTTGTTCAAATTATTGAGTTCACGCGACCCGTAACCAACAATACGTTTTTATTTATTACTAAAGTAAATTATTCCATCAAATTGGCGAATTTTGTGTAAAACAATATACTTTTATGCTCCTTTTGATGCATATAAAATAATTATAGTACAAGTCACGAAATAAGGGCGGTTCATTGTGCTCTAGGTGACGTACCATTTCCTTTGCAAAAAGCATCGTTTTCTTTTCTTGTCCGAAGTTGGAACCTTTGCTTCGAAGA